TTCAATACCATGTAAGAATTTAGTGTACTCAGGGTTGGACATAAGCACTTGCCCGCTCGCCCAGGTGAGTGTCTTTAGTGTCAGGCGAACACAAATCATTGATCACTCACCCGTTTGGTGAGTACGATTTTCGTCGCCAAGAAACTAATTAAAATTAATTGCAAAATGAACACTGTTCTTTACATTCCATTTTGCCGAGAAAATCTCTAAACATAAACTTACCATTTCTATTTTATAAAGTTTTATATTCTGAACTGTCTAATAAATTGGTGCTGAAAGGCTTCCTCCTAGTGATAATTACTTAACGTATGCACTTAAACAAAGTGATACTGCTGGTCACTATCAAGCCATCAGTGATCAGGTAAACATAGGGCCCAAGGAGAACAGACACGTTTACTCACAAACAGCAAGGGATCTCACGAAGATTCATCAATAAAAAACTATTTGAAATATAAAGAACCTCCAATGTGTTTTCTTGGGGTTTAAAACTAGTCAAATTTTTCATTGAAGAAATAATCCTCGGTCTGCCACGTGCTTGATGACGTTGTGAGCAAATTGTTTTCCCGTACTTTCCCAACACTCTGATCAGCACGTGTTCTCCCGGTAAGTTTAAAAATGGAGTAAACTGATCGTAGCCAAAATGTGGAAATACATTTCTGGAGTCTCTAAAGTTGTTGAAGAGAAAAAGAATGAAAAAGCCCCAAAAGCTGTCCGCGATACGCGGGAATACGAGGGGGGGGGGATGAACTTTTGGGTGAGTGAAAACTGATTCGGGTGAGTGCATTTTGTGAGTGCCATCAAAATTATCAAGTGTCCAACCCTGTGTACTACTGATGTTTTATTAGACTTAGGCTTGAGTTCCAGACGCTGTTCAACAAAGGAGCCTGATCCTCTCCATCCCCAAGAGTATGGCAAAATTCACTCAAAGTTAGCAAGGTTGGCGTGTAGTCTGTGATAACAGTTTTGGTTGGTGTAACTAACAGTTTGTCCCTTCTGGTCTTTCTAAGGAAAACAAGTTTACGAAGTGCAGTGTATACACTCTGCTGAAGTCCATATAGAGACTGTTAAAAACAAGAGACACTGAGGAATAGAACAGAACACATGCTAAAACTTTTAAAATCACATTTTAATAATTAGTTGATTGGTCTAGTAATCATTCAAGTAATTTACTAAATAAATATTTTTGGCATCGCTGAGCAGGATCATCACTAAAGGAGTCAGCTCAAGGCAGAACAAGAACTGCAGAAATTTCTTGCTGTCATAATTGACAGAATGGAACAGCTAGGGTAAGACAAACATTTACATGTCATCAATATGTCTAAGGAGGGAACAAAAACGATTGAAAACGATATTAATTCAGTTTTCCAACTAATTAACATTGATCCACACAGGCGAATTTTGCATGAGCTTACTAGGGTGAAAGCCGCCAATAATGTACACAACATAATTAAAGATTAATTTATGGCTTCTTAAATGTTTATCAGTTACTGAAATTGGTCTGCAGTTTAATATTTACAGACTGGACCATCGCACTTCTTAATAAAAACACATATAACAGGAATGATCTCTCATGGTGATAGTAGAGTGATGTGCTTCGTTGACCTTCTTCAATGGAGGCATGATTCTAACCTGACAATGAATGTCCTGCTTCAGTTTTTTACCAAGTTGAGTCAGGTAACTCTGACTTAATTTTTATCACTTTTCATCTTCATAGACATCTAACTTACTTAGGCAACAGAGTACCACTTACCAACACATTACCCACAGACTGCATGTATGTGTTTGCTAACAAAAAGTGTTCTTATTCCATTAAGTTCAGTTACAGTTTGACTACTCGAACCGGCTGGGGCCACCTAGAAGAAAGCTAAGCAATCAAAATGTAAACTGAAAACAATGGACTGGTAGCTTTCATGTGTCATCAAGTAATAAGCGTCTGTTTGTCGTGAAAACATAAGGGCTATTGAATCTTCTGCATTACATACACTCTTAGAGATTCTGTCCTTGATGGTGAATTATCATTATTATAAATCTTGCTTGAAAAATTTATCTTGGAAACTCATTTTGCAACAATTAAACCAAAACTGGTGAAAAGCATACAAAATTTAGAATCGAAACTAACCAATCAACAAATTGTTCACAACACTTTGCACTTTGCTGGCTTTTCATGGTTTTTGTTGGGTTACTATTGCTCGTATTCCTCACTATGGTTGTTTTTTTTTTAGAAAAAGATCGCTATCCTTTGTTCTCAAGTAACATTCAGTTCTGATTGGTTAACTCTTTTCCAAATAGCCCAGTTCAAGTAGTCACACTGTTATTGTTGTTTCTTGGCTGAACATTGACTATAGTCACTGACTCTTATGGCGTAGTTGAGTGGTAGTTCAAGTTACGAATTTTCATAAGACTTATTTTCTGACTGTTTCAGAATGGATGCCTACCAGAATGTCTGCTACTACAGATGGATAAATGTTATTATGAAAATAAAAATAAATATCTTACGGTATTTGCAGCATACATGGTAGAAAAAGAGATTTCCAAGGAGTTCACACAGAATGCCAGAAGAACAACTGCAGAGGTGGAAATCATTTATCAGAAGGGGAGAGGAGACAAGGACAAGATCAGAAGCCGGTTGACAGACAAGGAGACCATTGAACTGCAAGAGGAAAAATGGATACTCCAGCATCTTAAGAAATACAGCACCAAAAAGGTCAAACACAGACCTGCTGACCCTACAACAGAAAGGCAGGAAAAAAGAGTTAGAAAGGCTCTTGGCTAAGAAGAACTCTTTTCCACTAGTAAGTACACTGTCTTGTAATACATGTAAGTTTTTAAAGAATCAGAGTGGTTAGTTATAATGCCATATGTTTGCCATGTAAAACCAACTGAAACTTTGTGAAACACATTAAGGAACTAATGCTATGACTGATTTTCAAGAAATTGCTTATTACGCTTACTGTAGCCACTGATAACCAGAATTTA